GCCATGTGCAGGGCCACGAGGGGCGCCCTGGGCCCTGGCCCCAGGCTCGCGGGGGGCAGCGTGCCCCTCGGCTCGGGGGCGGAAGCGGCTGCGGAGGGGGAGGCAGGAGGAGGAGGAAGGGATGGGGGAGGAAGAGGAGGAAGGAGGAGGAGGAGGATGACGAGGACGAGGAGGAGGAGGAGGAGGGGATGAGGAAGGAGGAAGGAAGGAGAGGTAGGGAGCGAGGAGGAGGAGCCGAGAAGGAGGGAGGAGGGGAGGAGGAGGGGAGGAGAACACGGAGAAGGAGGAGAGAATGCAGACAGAGAAGGAGGGGGGGGGAGGAGGAGGGTTAGGAGGAGGAGGAGGCAACGGAAGGTGAGTGGAGGAAACCCCGACACAGCCACACCTACCAACTGCCTCGCACCAACCCGGGCGGCCCGCCAACACCGACACACCAGCAAAACCCACCCCACCACAGCCCACCAACACCAACACCAACACCAACAACAACAACAACAACAACAACAACACTCATTTTACCCGAACGCTCAGTGTTCTCACCAGTGCCAGGGTTTTCATGCGACGCGAGACAATACCCCCACTTCGTGGGGGGGGCAGTTCAAGCTCTACCAAATATCCAAACGACTCTTCGCGACCACCCAAACCCAGCTTCCCGCCCTATGACGTTGGGACACTTCACTTCGTGGCGTGCGGACGACCGTGGCTACTACCCTGGCGTGGGGTACACACCCACAGAACTTGGTCACTTATTCGGGGCGCGCGTGTGCCCAGCATCCTGCAATTGTGACATACAATACATGACACAGACAGACAGAGAGAGAGACAGAGAGCAGACAGAGAGAGAGACAGAGAGAGCGGAGTTGGTCACATTTTTGGGGCAAGTTCCTGAGATCGTCGTGTTTTTTGTTGGTCTTGCGCGCGCGAATGTCCACTTTACTTTTTTTTTGCAAGGGAGTATTTAAATTTGATTATGTTAGAACAAGAAAAAGTAGCTCGCGCGAGCTCATGTAACATAAATGTTGAAAAACCATTGGTTTTGTGGGATTCGGACAGCGCGCGCGGAAGGACATTTTGACAATTTTTTCTTAAAAAACCATTGGGATTTTGATGTTTTTATGTTAAAATCGCTACGAAACCTAAGGTTTTGGAAGGATTTCGTCTTGCGCGCACGAATGTCCCCTTTACCTTATTTTTTGCAAGGGATTCTTGCAATTTGATCAAGTAAGAACAAGAAAGTAAAAAAAAAAGCCCTCGCGCGAGCTCATGTACCTAAATGCTGAAACCATTGGTTTTGTGGGATTCGGACAGCCGCGCGGAAGGACATTTTTGACAATTTTTTCTTAAAAAACCATTGGGTTGTTTGATGTTTTTATGTTAAAATCGCTCCGAACACTAAGTTTTTGGAAGGATTTCGTCTTGCGCGCGCGAATGTCCACTTTACCTTATTTTTTGCAAGGGATTCTTGAAATTTGATTATATTAGAACAAGAAATGTCATTTTATAGTGTTTTTTGCAAGGGAAAACGGATTACAACAAAACAACCGGATCCGGACACAATCCACTTTTCTGAAGCTTTCGCTAGAAAATGAAGGAAATGAGGCTGCGGCCTAGGTTTTGGAGGGGGTCGCGCACCAGGGGTCTCAACAATAATATTTCTTTAGAAGTAATAATATTCAACAACAACAACAATTACTAGCACGTGGGGACACTCCGTTCTCACCAGTGCCAGGGTTTTCATACGACGCCCGCCAATACCCCCACTTTGTGGGGGGGCCGGTTCAAGCTCTACCACATTTCCCAACGACTCTTCGCCACCACCCACACCCAGCTTCCCGCCCTATGACGTTCGGACACTTCACTTCGTGGCCTGCGGACGACCGTGGCTACTACACTGGCGCATGGCTACTACACTGGCGGATTGTGGCCCCTGGCAGGCGCGCGAACGCCGTTGAAAGAGCTTGCGAAAACAGCTCGCGCGAGCTCTATAACATAAATGTTGAAAAACCATTGGTTTTTAAGGATTCTGACAGCGCGCGCGGGTAGAAATTTTGAAAATTCGTACAGATGTTTTTCGAGGACCTACGGTGCGATTCGTATGATTTTATGTTGCGCGGTGCTAAAATTCCTAAGAAACCCAATGGTTTTTGAAGATTTCGGCGTGCGCGCGCGAAGAAAAAACGAATGTGTCCCGCATGGTATTATTTGACAGGGATGATGGCCCTGGCAGTTGCGCAACCGTTGTTGGAGAAGTTCGAAGCACGTGAAAAAGTTGCTCGCAAAAGCCCGTTTGACAGAAATGTTTAAAAAGTGTTGGGTTTCCTACGAATCCGCAAGAGCGCGCGGGATGAGATTTTGACATTTTTTTGTTGAAAAAACATTGTTTTTTTGATGTTTTTATGTTAAAATCGCTCCGAACACTAAGCTTTTGGAAGGATTTCGTCTTGCGCGCGCGAATGTCCACTTTACCTTATTTTTTGCATGGGATTCTTGAAATTTGATTATATTAGAACAAGAAATGTCATTTTATAGTGTTTCTTTGCAAGGGAAAACGGATTACAACAAAACAACCGGATCTTGATGACATCTTATTACCTGAGGCTTCCTCACGAAAATGATGAAAATGTAGCTGCGGCCTAGGCGGCGCAGGGGGGCCGTGCACCAGGGGTCCCAACAATAATTATTCTTTAGAATTAATAATGTTCAAAAACAACAAAAACGCCACCACAATCACAACCCACCACAACCCACCACAACCACCACGACCACCACCACCACCACCAACACAAACCACCACACCATTCCCACCACCATTACCACGACCATCACCACCACCGCCACAAACCACCACCACAACTTACCACCACCACCACCACCACCACAAACCACCAAACCACCACCACCACCATCTCCACCACAATCCACACACCACCACCACCAGCACCACCACCAGCAGCAGCACCACCACCACCATCAACACCACAGCCCACCACCACCAGCACCACGAACCACTACAAACACCACCACCACCGCCACTACCGCTACCACCACCACCACAACAACTCACCACCACCACCACCACAAACCACCACGCAACCACCACCACCACCACCACCACAGCCACCACCGCCACCACCACAACAACAACCCACCAGCACCACCACCACACCCACGACAACGCACCACCACTACCACCACCACCACCACCACCACCACCACCCACAACAACCCATCACCACTACCACCGCCACCACCGCCACAAACACCACCTCACCACCAAAACAACCTACCAACACCACCACCACCACCACCACCACCACCACAAACCACCACACCACAACCACCACCACCTCCGCTACCGACACCACCAGCACCACCCACCACCCAACCCCACCTACCACCTACCGCCAACACCACCACCCCCACCGACAAACCACCACACCACAACGCACCACCTACCTACCTCCACCTACCACCACCACACAACCCACCACCACACCATCACCTACCAAAACCATCACACCCCCACCACCACCACCACCGCCATCAGCACCACCACCACCATCACAACCAGCACAACCCACCACCACCACCACCACCACCATCACAACAAACCACTTCACCACCACCGCCACTAAAAACACCACCACCACCACAACCCACCACAACCCACCACAACCCACCACAACCCACCACAACCGACCACAACAACCACGACCACCATCACCACCACAAACCACCACACCACTACCACCACCATCACCATCACCACCACCACAACCAGTCGGCCACCAACAAAAAAAAACGCCACCACCCACCCACCACCACCACCACCACCACCACAAACCACCACACCACCACCACAACCACCACCACCACCATCACCACCACCACCCACAACCCACCACACCACCACAGTCCACCACCACCACCACCACCACCATCTCGAAGAGGCCCCAAGAGACGTCCAAGAAGCGCCCAGGATGCTTCACTAATGCCCTTCAGAGGCCCCCTAGAGCCCTCCGACGAGACCCAAGAGGCATCCATTAGGACTCTGATCCAAAACCAAGGCACGGTGGCGGAGCGTCGTCGTCGTCGTCATCACTGTCGCCGTCGTCCTCGTCGACGCTCCCCGCCGCCGCCGACGCCAGCGGGGGAGGGGTCGAACCCCCCCCCACCCTTCAGGGGAGGGGGGAGGGTATGGTTTCACCCCCCCCTCCCCTTCAAGCGCCCACAGAACACGCTCTTTCGGAGGCCGCAATCTCTTGTAAATGACAGCAGGTTCGCGCCCCTGAGGCGACCGTCCCTGGTAAATTCCGACGCATTCGCGCTCCCGAGGCTGAGAACCCATCCCACGGAGGCTGCGTCAAAGTGCCGCTCCCCTCTTCAGGGGTGTAAAACTGTAGGCTTCTGCATTGGGGCATGTGCTCGGGGGTCGGTGGGCGGGTATCGGCTTCCCCGCCGTGAAAAGTCGGCGCTGGGCCCGCGGCCGCGAGTCCACGAAAATAGCGAAGGATGCCAGGAACCCGAAGACAGTCCCAGCCGCGCGATGCTTGCCAAGTTTGCCTCAAGCAGCTCTCCGTCGTTCCAACAGGGCTTCCTATCCACAACACGAGGGAAGCACTCTAAAAAGCCAACAGCACATTCGCTAGCAACTCCAGCATCTCAATATGCGCTGGTATTGCCAACTGTCCTCGCACGAGATTCCCAGATGTCCCCGAGACGGCACTCAGACAGCCCGACCTACTCAAAATCTCATAATACAGGGGGGGTCAAAAAAGTGTTTGACGGCCGGTCTGGGACCCCCCCCCAAGTAGACCCACCCCAGACAGGCAACAAAGGGTCCAAAATCGAGACCCCCCCACAATTGTGTTTGACGAAGCCCGTTAGACCCCCCCCAAAAGCAGACCCCCCCCCCATTGTTACGAGATCCGGAGTAGCTCTGATCTGGCCAGATCTGACAGAGAGGGGGGCTGGCGGCAGAACGCGAAGCTCTCACGGATATCTGTGCCACCGGGACCGCCGCACCTGTCCACACCGATCCTCATCCTCTCCTCGGCGTTGGCTGTCCAAATCGGGGGGACGTAAGACTCGGGTTCGGGGGACTCGGACTTGGCCCGACGGGGCCATCCATGAGAATGACGAGGCCCAATCTGAAATTTGACGCGATCTCCCGCTGCAAACATCCCACGAGAACTTTCAAAATCCAGGAGGCGCTCGTTATAAAAACGCCGGCAAACACGAGATCCCGCTCACTCGAGGCTCTGTCTCCCCGACCAAACTGCAGCTTCGCCAGAACACCGTCTTGTGAGCCTCGTCCACGCCTTGCGCGATTACGGGCTTGCCATCCTCCGTGGCGCTCTCCGCAATCACGCCCTGCAGTTTCGCCCCCTCGGCGGCCCTCCGCGTCGTGCCGCAGCCCGCTCCGCCACAGGTCTGGCCTCCGAGGCAGGACGAGGAGCGGGAGGAAGGGACGGAAGCGAGCGCGGGAGAGCGGAAGGGAGGGTTGACTGACTGCAGTGCGGGGGCGGGGAGCGGAAGAGCAGGGGCGGAGAAAAGGGAACGCCGAGGGCATGGGCAGGGGGGGTGGAAAAGGGAAGGCGAGAAGCAGGGGGGGGGGCAGAGGGGAGGGGCACCGCGCGGCGGAGAGACGAGGAGAGGGGGGAGGGGCGAGAGGACGGGGGGGGGAAGGGGGGGGAGGGGGAGGAAGGGGGTACGAAGGGGGCAGGAGGGGCAGGCATGAAGGCGAAGGGAGAGAAAAAGAGAAAGCGAGGGGGGCCTGGGGGGGCGGCAGTGCAGGGTGGTACCGAGGCCAGGGCGAGACAGACGGCCAGCGGGAGGGGATGAAGAGGTCCCGGCGAACTCCCTCATGTTGGATCAACCACCTCGGCCTCCACTCCTGAGCTCCCCAGTCCTCCCGCCCTCTCCCCCTCCCCCCCGCACTCCGCCCACCCTCACTCTTCTGCCTCCATGCCGCATCCTCACCCTCACCACTCCCGAGAGCCGACCATGCCTCCCCCGCCCGCACTGCCCCCCTTCCTGGGGAGACAAAACGGTATCGATACCGCTACTCCCCGGCCCTCTCCCGGGGCGCGCTCTGACCAGAACCAGCGGTGGCGGCAAGGGCCTCCCAGGAGGCCCAAACAGGGAAAACGAGGGAAGGGTAGCGGTATTGGTACCTTTTTATCCTCCGACTTTCCTTCCGTTCCTTCCGTTCCTTCTCCATCCCTCCCGCCATCCCCCCCCGTCCTCCTCCTCCCCCGTCCTCCTCATTCCACCCCCACCCCCTTCCGCCCACCACTCCCCCGACCTCCCGCCCCGCACAAAACCGCTCTCCTGCGCCTGCGTACCTCGGACTGCTCGGGGGCCCTGGCCGGCCTCGTTGGGAGCCGAGAACAGCGCCACCACAGGAACCAGACCAGCGCGGCCGCTGCAGAGGCGACGAGGCCACGCGGCGGGGGCGCACCCAGACACTCGGCGACAGCGGCTGAACAGTCCGCTCCGACGAGCGACTGCGGCTTGTCGAATAGACTCGAACTGATCCCTGTTCCTAAGATCGGAAAGCAAAAAGCGATGACGATCTCAGGGATGTGCCCTCAGAAACTTGGGAACTCCTTAAGCTCGGCATCGAGGTAAGGTGATGCCAAACATAGGGATAGGGATATGTGTCAAACTGGTAACTTGTCGGGGAGACACGAGACTCGGGTCAGGGGGACTCGGGTTGGCCCGACGGGGCCATCATGAAAATGACGCGACCCAGCCTGAGATTTGATGCGGGCTCCCGCTGCAGACATCCCACGAAAACTGGAACGTCAAAATCCAGAACGGGCTCGCCAAAAAGCGTGGGCGAAGCCGAGTTCCGGCGCACTCGAGTCTTACGCGTCCCCGAGCTTGGATCGGAAGACCACGGGGTCCCCCTGGTCCAGGGGGCCGAGCGGCGTCGTGAAGGCCCTGCTGCTCACTGGCTGCGTGATAATCGGCCCCCAACCAAAACAACGTGATTGCCCATGCTGGACATGATCTTGCATCTATCTGTCGCTAGATGGTTAAGTATGAGCCACGCCAACACCGTAGAGCAGTGGGAAAGCTGGGGATGGGCAGGAAAGCCGTGCCCTGACATGTGGCCGCCGCGATAGCCGCGGCGACCTCCAAAACCGACCTGGAGATTTGGCTCGGGGTCGGACATCACGCAACGAGCTAACGTGAACGCGCATCAGATCGCAGTCTTCGCCGCCACCTTCGCCGCAATTATTTCCCTGATGCGCGTGTTCGTCGTCGTCTTCTTCCTCATCTCCCCCTCCCCTCCTCCTAAGCATGCAGTCGTCTTCATCTAACTGGTCGTCGTCGTCATCGCTAGAGCGGGTCACCCCAATGCTCGTCTTCGTCGCCGTGCTCGCCATTGTCGTCATGATACCGTCGTCAAGATCTGACTCCCCATCCCGTCACCACCGATGTTGTCGTCGTCGCGGCATCGTCGGCATCGGAAGTCCGAGGACGGAATGCATACGCATCCACAGCCTGGAAAACTCGGTGTCTGCGGCGGTGGATACGCATCCATTCCAATAAGCGTAATGAGGGTCCCAGTTCACCGGGCCGCAGGCAGCCAGCGGGAAACTCGAACGGAGGCCCAGCTTCCCTGGACTCGGCGAGGTGATCCCGTCAGGAGGGAGGTCGTGTAGAGCATGCCCACGCCGCGGTGACGCAAGCTCGGTGGATGTGCACCACCTCGAGTACGCACAGGCAGGGTCCGAGTGCAACGGGCCGCATGCAGCCCGCGGGAGACCTGACCAGAGGCCCAGCGAGTCTGGGCCTGGCCCCGGGGACTCGGCGTGGTGATCCTGAGGCTCGAGCCCCTCGGGAAGAGGGGAGTGAACGGACAGAGGGCTCACGTCGCGATGACGTGGGCTCTGGTTTCTGACAGCGCAGATCGCCCTACATCACCAAATCGGGCCAGTGCCGACGTTCGTTTCTTGGACGCCCGCGCCGGGGTCGCCGCAGCGTCAGCGCGGCGAGACGAGGCTGGCCGCATGGCGGAACGTTCGTCAGAGACCATATCAATACGAGGGGGCCGCGCCAGGTAGTCGCCGACCGCACACACCACGAGGGGCCCACGATCAGATCCACCCTCCACGAGGTCGCGGCAAGGCGGGCTCAGGACGGCCAAGCAGCCTCTACGCAGCTCGCGGTGTCCTGCCCCGCTCCACTTCCCGACCGGCTACAACTCCATGCCTGGCCCGGACCCTTCTCCTCCACACCCGGGCTCCCCTCGGCTCCAGCCAGTGGCTGCCATCCCAGACTGCAGCGTGTTGCGATCTCCAAACGCACCCATCCACACTTTCATATGCTTCATCTCAGGGAGGTACTATTGGCACGCGGAAGAAAGGGACAAGCAAGGTTCACGGCGAGCAACTATTGCGGAGGCTGGCATGCCGAAAAACCTGAAAGGGGACGGAAATGACCTGCAATGGCAGAGCCGCAGACAGCCGTGCATACATGGATCGTCGCGATGGCTCGCAACCGCCAAGTCGATGACGATCTGACACTGAGGATAACGACTGTTAGAACAGTGTGTCGGCTTGCCGTCGACGGATCTGGACTCCATTGAAGATACATGCTCCAACAACGCTCCAGTTAACGTCGATGTAGACCATGGCAAGGGAGGCAAGCACACACACACACACACCATCATGACAAGGAAGACCTACAGCAAGGCTTGCGACGGTGACCAGCATGGTTGTTGTTAGGCGGCCGGCCTCGCGTTATCGTGAAAGCATACATGAACGGTGAGAGTGGAAGCGCGCACGATGCCGATGCAATGACTTCCCTATCTCAGCAGAATGTCTAGGGAAGGCTGAATTCGGTGTGGCGCTGCACGGGCCTGCATCCAGAATCCTTTGAAGCTGTTCTTTTTCAGGAAATCGTAGAGCGAAGCCTGCAACGAGAAAGCAATGTTTGCTCCCATCTGTGAGTTCCCCACATCATGATCGTCTGTCGCGCCGCTACACACGCGATCACGACTGCGATAATTCCTGAAGATGAGGCTTCCAGCCCCAGACATGGGCAGGCAACCACTTGCAACAGCAATGGTTTACAGATCGGCTACCGTGATTGTACGATGTTGGAGTCTGAGAACACTTAGGACTGTCCTAAGAAGGTCTTGGGTTTTGCAGCCTGCGACCCACCCACTCCCACACCGAATCTGTGCTTCCTGGCGCCCTTTTTGACCTCTACACGAGATACCTGAAAACCAGCCCCAGGGAGCCAAACGACGCCCAGGAGGCCCTAAAATTTCAAGACTCTGAAAAGGATGTGTGATTTTGTTTGCGGGGATTCTCCGCTGCAGAGCAAATCCAGAAAGCTCTAGAGCCCCAAGATGGCTCAAGACCTGGGCAAGAAATGGTTCAACCCAGCCTCGTCGAGGCGAACAACCCAAATTGAAGTAGTTACGCTAACTTCCTGAATCTGGAGATCGAACAGTGTCGTACTTACGTTGAAGGGAAGCCCTTTCCCTTTGTCCCTTCCCCGCCGGGAGGGGGTCCTGGGGACTCAGAGGGTGGTCCACGGGAAGGTGGGGGAAGGGTCCCAGGGTCCCAGGGGAGGGTAACCGGAGGGGTCTGTGATCTCCACCCCATGCGGTCCCAACTGTAAACAAGGAAAACAACGGGGTGGTATCCCTGTCGGCAGGGGAGCTCAAGACCCCTGGGTGGCCAAATTGTGAACCCGACCCCCCATCCCCCATGAATTCGAAGGGGGGGCGGGGGCTCACTCCCGGAGCTACCGAACGAAGTGAACCCCCACCCACCCCTGAAAAACCATCGGGGGCGGGGGTAGGGTTCACATGTGGTCACCGAGCCCCTCCTCCCGCCTCGGCCTCCGCTCCAGCCCTGGCCCTGGCCCCAGCCCCAGCCCAGGTTCACGCCCCAACGTCGGCACCGCCCTGGGCACCGGGCCCCAGCCCCGGCCAGAGCCCCAGCCCCGGCCCATGCCCCAGCCACGGCCCGGGCCCCCTAGCCCCTGCCCTGGGCCAGGCCCCGATTCCGGCCCCAGACCCAGCGCCAGCCCGCCCCCGAGGAGACAGACGGCTCAGCAACTCCTCCTCCTCCTCCTCCTCCTCCTCCTCCTCCTCCTCCTCCTCCTCCTCCTCCTCCTCCTCCTCCTCCTCCTCCTCTCC